GCATAATCCTCAGCTCTACCCTGCAAGGGTTCCCCCCGTATCCCTCCTATTTAGGAGGGAACGGGTTATCCTAAACAGGGCGGCTGGGCGGGACTCAGCGGACACAACCAAGGTGGCAATATGAGATCTTTTTGCTGCCCTAAGTGCCCTGATGTAATCCTTGGTGCAAGTTGTTAATAGTGCTCGGTTCGACTCGGACTTATCGGACCTCCACAAGTGCTCTAGGCGTCTCCTCCGGTGCTTCTTCTCCCGGAGCTCCTCGGTGAACCAAGGAGGTCTCCGGGATCCGCTGACTAACAACTTCTTTTGGTTTAACATTATTTCTACAATTAATATTCTCCCATCCTCATCATGATAGATTGGTTTAGTCTGGATTGTGTCTTTAACATATAATGCTATTCCACTTTTCTTTGGATCAGCTAATGCTGTGTAAAGTTTACCCAATCTAGGATATTCCAAGGTCTGGATCTGTTGTTTGGTTATATGGACCTCCTGCAATGCAATTATATCATAATTCATAGTTTTAATTTATTGAAGGTTGTTTTTCTTTTCTGGGGCGAATTTAGACCATTGATATTCATTGATAGGATCTTGACTTCTCCTGACATGATTCTATATGTATTTAGGTCATGTGCTTCTTGTTGCCCTTATCTCTCGCTTCTTTTTGTTCTCCCCCCTTTTCTTTAAAACAGCATCTTTCTTCTTTCTTGTCTCCACTAGTTTCTTTTCTCTTCTTATCTGTGCCCAGAGTCCTTCCATCCTTGTTTCCAACAGTTCTCCTTCGTCTTCCTCCTCCTACTGACCAAATTGATAGTAGAATTCTTTTGCTTGTTCCACTCTGTCTATTCTGAAACTTCTATCTCTCCAAGTTACCAGTTCTCATCCTTTCCTATTCCCAAAGCCTTTATCATGAGACCTGCCATCATATCCGGTAGATCCTCGCCTTTTTCTTCCTTTACATTCTGAAACCGTAGAAATTGAGCCGCTTTCTCCTATTCTAACGTGAGGACCATTAGCTCAAGTTCTTTGTTCGCCTGGATCAACCTAGAACTCAGCTCCTCCATTCTTTTCTCTTCCTTCCCCATCCTTCCTTCTATTGCATTTATTCTTTGTTCATTTTTATTAATCTGTTCCTGAAACTTTTAAAATTTATCATCCATCTTCTGCATTTTTTCCTTTAGTTCCCCAGTGTCATTTCTTACTTCTCTGATATCCTTTTTCAATTCCTCATCGTTTCTAGCCATTGTTTCATGCATAGCCTGTAATATCATCTGAAGAGCCTTCATTGAATTAGATCTTTCTCTCTGGAGCATATTCTCAGAGGATCTCTGGTTCGAGGGGCTGGTGACCGCTAGAGACGTGGTTTCCTCCCTCTGCCATTTTTGGTTAGATTTGTAATGCTGGTCATTTTTTAAGAAAACTGGATCCCTAATTTAATTATTTTCATTAACAAATTTCTAAGTTATCTAGTCATAACATATCCTGGATTGCTGCTTTCATGAAAATATGCTGAAGTCAAAGGAGTGTAAATGTTACAGCACTTAAAACTGCAGGAGTAAACAAACTCAGACATTACCATAAGACTATACAATTGGAATATTGTAGGGTTCAACAATATTAGAAGACAGTATTATGCTAATTAATCAGCTTTTAAATGGAAGAAACCTGGACACAAATTTCCTCAAGTTAATAGACATTTTAAAAATACATTAAATTGTTATATGTTTTAAAAGTTAAAACCTATCTAACTACAATAACATCAAGGAAATAAAGACACAGGAAGGAGAGGACATGAATAAATCACTTCCATTGAGTAATGATAAAAAAATAACCAGGTGGAGATTTATTTGTTTTATTAGGCTTACATTTTACTCCAATCACAGCTGAGTCCAAATTTGTTAGTAGTGGTGGTTTGAAAATAGCTTTTTCATCCATACTGGAGATCCTGAAGTAATTGGGGATTGAACCTGGGACCTTCCGCACAAAAGCCATTAAGCTCTGCTTTGCCATCAAGATATGATGGAGTTTGGATCAGCAGAATGAGTGAGCAAATTCTCAGTCCAAGCTAGAGACCAAAGTGTTTTTTGGCTTCTCGGAACTATCCTGATGGTTTTACTATATAGTTTGTCATCATAATTTGGTGATATTATTTTGATTGCAAGCATCCATTTTAGTAGTGATAGGAAACTAAAGGAAACCAGACACACAGAAAATCAGATAGATATAGATATTATATAGACTATCTATCTATCTATCTATCTATCTATCTATCTATCTATCTATCTATCTATCTATCTATCTATCNGCATTCTGAACTAACTGCAGTCGCCGGATGCACTTCAAGGGCAGCCCCATGTAGAGCACATTGCAGTATTCCAGCCTGTATCTAAGGGGTTTCAATTTTGTTATCAGAGTGGGGAAAAAATATTTTTCCTCATCTATATGGGATATTCACTTGACTTAACTTCTTGTTTCAGTAGTTCAAAGGCCGAAGGCTCAGGAGGAAGAGGAGAAGGAGGCCATTTCCAGTTCAGATAACTCTGAACCATTCAGCGTGCGGGAGAAACCGTTCAGCAAATCCGATTTCCACACTCTGAAGAAGGAAGAGAATTTGGAAATCAAGCCAAACAATGAAGAACAGACCAGTAAAACTATAACTCAGCCCCTTCATAATGGACCAGGCGATATAAGCAATGAAGATCAAGACAAGAGACAACTTGTGTGCAGCCGATGCAGAAAAAGCTTCACCAATACCTCCAACCTTACTGCTCACGAGAGAATCCACACCAGAGCGAAACCATATAAGTGCCGTCGTTGCGGAAAAAGCTTTGGCAAGAAATCGACTCTCATTGCTCATCGGAGAATCCACTTGGAAGAGAGACGGTACAGATGCCGTGTGTGTGGGAAGAGCTTCCGGCAGTTCTCGAGCCGTGTCGCCCACGAGCGAATCCATACCGCAGAAAAACCCTACGCTTGCCCGGAGTGCAGGAGGAACTTCAGTCTGAAATCGAGCTTGGTTTCCCACCGAAGAACCCACACGGGAGAAAAACCTTACGCGTGCTCTGAATGCAGGAGACGTTTCAGCCAGAAATCGGCTCTGGTTGCCCATAGGCGAACCCACAAAGGTGAGAAACCCTACGTTTGCTTGGCCTGTGGGAAAAGTTTTAGCCAGAGCTCCAACCTCATTGTTCACAAGAGAATCCACACTGGGGAAAAACCATATCCCTGCCCTCACTGTGGGAGAAATTTCGCCTGCAGCTCCAGCCTCGTTCGGCACCAGAAGATCCACACGGAAGACAAACCGTACAGATGTGCGGCCTGCGGGAAAACCTTCAGCTGCAATTCGAGCCTCAGCAGGCACCGGCGGACCCACACAGGGGAGAAACCCCACGACTGCCCCGATTGTGGCAAAACCTTCAGTGTGAGCTCCCAACTCAGTGTGCATCGGAGGACCCACAGGGGAGAAAAGCCCTATGAATGCTCAGAGTGTGGGAAAAGTTTCAGTGTGATGGCGAGCCTTAACGCCCACCAGAGAATGCACGCTGGTACGAAAACTTATAAATCTTCCGACTGTCCCAAAAGTGTTTCTCTAAGGTCGAGTCTCAGAGCTCACAAGAAAAGACACGGAGAAAAGGCATTTGATTGCATAGAGTGTGGCAAAACCTTCACCTGCAGCTCTGGGCTCATTCGCCACCAGAGAATCCACACGGGGGGGAAACCCTTCCGTTGTGGAGACTGCGGGAAAAGCTTCATCTTGAGCTCCAACCTTATCGCCCACCAGCGAACTCACATGGGAGAAAAGCCGTACCAGTGCTCGGAGTGTGGAAAAAGATTCAATCTAAATTCGAATCTGGTCGTCCATCAAAAAACCCACGCTGGAGGGAAGCCCTATAAATGCATTTACTGTGGGGAAAGTTTCTATACAAGGCCACATTTCGTAGAGCATCATAGAGCCAGGCATTCGGATGCTATAAACACGAAAACAGCCGAAAGCAACGTTAATTCTAAATCCATTAATTACCAAATAAACTCTGTAGGATGGGGTTGATCAAATTGGTGGAGAGGAGCTGGAATCTACTGGAAAACTTTACATCAGAGGTCCCCAAACTTGGCAACTTTCAGACTTGTGGACTTCCAACTCCCCAAATTCTCCTCCCAGAATTCCACAAGTCTTAAAAGTTGCCAAATTTGGAGACCCTTGGTTTACACTAACCATTTTGCAATATTCTGTTGCTTCTCATAGTGAGTCTCTAACCTTTATATTTGGATAGTACTAGCCATTTCTTAGATGGTTAAGGATCCTAAAACTCCACCCTTCTTTGAGTTCTGCGTCTATATTTTTAGGGAAACAATTTCAAGGCAGGTAGAAAGTGCAGGGGGGGAAAAACACCTTTTGGTTATCCACATCAGTGGTGGGTTTCAAAATTTTTTGGAACCTACCCTGTGGGTGTGGCCTCATTTGTGGGAGTGGCTTGCCGGCCATGTGTTTTCTCTCTATCTATCTATATCTATCTATCTATCTATCTATCTATCTATCTATCTATCTATCTATCTATATCTATCTCTANCCTCTCTGATGGTATCACAAGATGAAGCTAGAAGTTCCTAGAAGGAAAAAGGTTGCATATGTTTATTGGGCACACTCATGAGAGAGCCAGGAAAATCTGCCTGATTTGGCTTATCCAGAGGGCTTCAAACTAAAATTGGAACAGGAGGGTGGCCAATCTTTAGGGCCTAATCCAAAGCATAAACCCCAAGACAACCAATCAAATAAGGAGGTAGAGTGGAGTAGAAGGAAGCAAAACTCAAGATATGAAGTAGGAGTTGTGGGAAGTAAACTCATGATCAGCCATAAAGGACTCAGATGCCCATATGAAGGACTCAGGAATAAATCCTGGCAGGGTTCGTCCAAAATGTCTGTCTGCCTTTTGCAGAGTTTCAATAAGCAAAGAAAGAGCATAGATAGCAACCGCATTGTTATTAGCTTATTCCAGTGGTGGGTTGCAGGCAGTATGCCCTGGTACGGGCGTACCAGATCCCGCCTAGAGCACTGGGTACCATTCCGGTACAGTGCTCCGGAGGGCCCGCCCACCCGCCTGCGCTCCTTACCTGTGCTTTATGCTTTTAATGCTTCCAAGCATACGCACAGTGCGTACGACGCCTGCACGATGCTCCAGGGAGCATCTGGACTGTCGCAGAGGCTTGCGGAAGCATCATTTGATGCTAAACCGCATGCACGCGTGCATGTGGATAACTCCGGGGCCGTTCCAACTGTACCGGTTGGAACGGAATCCGGAACCCACCACTGGCTTATTCCTTCTTATTCCCCTTGTCAATCTCTAAGAACATCCCACCCAGGGTTGAGTCTCCCATATCCAGATGGTTCCCAGTACTGCCTGGTGCTACTAATTAGGTGAGATCATAGGTTGAGGTAACCAGTTCCTGAGATCATGGCAGTTTGCTGCGCATGCCTCTACGTAACCTTTCCTCTATCCCTACATCTCACTCTTTTCTATTTTGTAAGAGGGGTTAGTAAAAGGATCATAATCAGGAGAGAAACATCCTTGCAATTGCTTATACAGGGTATATACCTGGCCCTGAGGCAATGTGGAAGGGGGTTTAGGGCAAAAAGCTGTGATATATATATATATTGAAAAGGGAAGGAAACAGGGATCAAGCATACTGTATAGAAAGCAAATTTTCCATATCATACAATTCAGATAAGCAAAAGACATCATTTTGTGTGATGTTAGCTTGCTACACTTATAGGTTTTGCTTCATTCTCTGTTCAAGCGAGTGTTTGGGTGAGATGACAGCTGCTGTCACTAGAGGGCAGCAATTAACAATCAAACATAAACAAATGATGATAAACAAAAGTTCTCGGGCGTTTGCTCCACTTGTTGCTGTTGTAGCACTTCCTGTGTTTGGTGGTCAGGGTTTTCACATCTCCCCACGTCACTGGACGGCTGATCTGACAAGATCGTATTGGCTGCTGCGCCATCTGTAGAGTCACCTTGGCCATTTCTGGAATCAGATTCGGGGACTGGTGCCACGACATCCTTAAATGGGCGGACACAACGTGCTGGAATCCACAGCAGCTCTGTAGGAGCAAGAACAGCAGCATAGCCTTGTGCCCAAGTAATCAAAGGGACTGGCCCTAACCATGTTTTGCCTGGTAATGCCCAATAATATACTAGAGGGGTCAAATTTTGAATAGAGACATTCAATTAATTTAAGGTAAATAATACTTTTTTTAACCTAATGTGTTACCCACGACAAATTAGGTACCCAAGAGCCCTCCTTTTTTATTTGTTTGTGAAGGCAGTCCTTACAGGACACATTAGCGCATTCCACGATGGCTTGACCTGTGGAATTGTAGGGTAGCCCATGAGTTAGATTTATGTTCCAATTTGTACAAAATTGCAAAAAGGCCGATGAAGAATAGGCTGGTCCGTTATCAGTTTTTAAAGAAGAGGGTTTGCCCAAGGCAGTAATGGCTGAAAAAAGATGAGAAATGACATGATTAACTGTTTCCCCTCTTTGAGGTGTGGCCCAAAGCGCCGCTGAACAGGTATCAATAGATAAATGAATATACTTCCAAGGAGCCAAAGAGGGAACATGTGTGACATCCATTTGCAATAGTTGATTAGAGGCAAAACTACAGGGATTTACTTCCATATCCCCCGAGGGGGATGCCCCAGAACATTGGGGACAGGATGAAACAATCTGCTTAGCCTGGTTGAGTGGAATATGGCAAGCTTGTGCCAGCCCCCTGGCATTTTGATGGAAAAAAGAGTGACTTAAAACGGATCTGAAAACAACGTAGGTAAAACATGCACAGCTGAATCTATGTAACTGTTACCTTCAGAAAGAGGTCCAGGAAGAGACGAATGACTGCGTATGTGAGAAACAAAGTATAAATGATTTTGGTCTTATAGTAGCTGCTGCAAAGTTAAAAACAAAGCCATGAGATTAGGGCCAATCCTGGGTGTGATGTAAGCAACATGGAACATTAAAAATAAGTTGACACACATAATGAGAGTCAGAAATTAAGTTAAAAGGCTGTTGAGAAAAAGTTTGGAAAGCTAAAATAGCAGCAGCTAATTCAGAACATTACGGGGATGACTATATTGCAGTATAGGAGAACTTTCAGGTATTATCATGAAAATCCTTGTAAGCAATCGCTCCTCTTATTCAACCTCCATCTGAAAAAAGTAAAAGCTTGCGAATGGGGAGAAGACGAAAGCAATGGATGAACAGGGAAAGAAGAAGTCATTAAGCAGGCAAGCCAAGGATCTTTAGGCAAATGATATGCAACACAGCCCACATAGTCAGTTAAAGCACACTGAATAGATAAGTTATTCTGAAAATAAAATTGAAAATCAGATTTCAGAATAGGAAGAACAATATTAATTAAATCGGTCCCATTTCTGTGACAAGCTCGAGTGCATCCTAAAGTTATTAATTCAGCTGTAGGCAGCTTACTAGTAGGAAGCATCAAAAGAGTTAACTGATAGTCTCTATGAGAAATACGATCTACAAACTGAATGCTCAAAACGTCATTAATTTTCTCAACTGCGGCAAGGGCTGCAAAAGGAACCACAATGAAATCGCCAGGCTGTTTTCCTTTGGCGAATAAATCAAATAAGGGACTAAGTAAATGTGTCGGCAGAGAAAAATATGGACGAACCCATTTAAGGGTCCCCAGCAACTGCTGTAAATCAATCAGCAAAATACCTTTGTGTAAGTTTAAGCAAGGAAAAACCGGAGCAGAAAAAGATTGTAACATTTCATGCAGTTGTATTTTTTCCAAAGCAATCTGCAAGACATAAGACACTTAAATCATTTTGTATTTCTAAAAGCCAATTAGGTGGTGTCTTTGGGGCTCCAATTAAAATATCATCCATATACCAAAGCCAATGAATGCCGCTTGCGAAAAGAATGTAATGCCGAAGCAACATAAAGCTGACACAACATAGAACTGTTTAACCTTCCATGGCAAAACATTCCAGTGATAACGTTTATTAGGTTCTGAATGGTTTACTATTGGCACAGTGAAGGCAAACTTTTCCTGACCAGCGGAGCAGAGGTGAACAGAGAAAAGAAATCCTTTATATCAATTACTTCATGATCTTGTGGAATCAAATTAGTGAGCAAACAGGCAACATATCTTCTATATCTCCCCCCATCTTTTTCTAATTGTTCCTCTAAAATTTGCCTCATGGGGGTGTACAATGACCGTAGAGAAGCAGAAGAGTTAACCTCTCCATGAAGAGCTGAAAGTCCAATTGAAGATGATTTCGAGGAAATAATTTTTACTTGCTCGTAATCAGGTGGAGGTTTTGGAGTCAATTGTTGTCCTGCCAAAACATCAGAGCCAAATTTTCCACTGCTTGATGGCATTGAGACCATAGATGTAATATATTTACTGGAGCCAGAGGTTCAAGATGTAAAGTATGCCCTATCTTTGCCCAATCTCGTAAACAAAGTGTCCCGCGCTCCAGATACCAGGGACAATGTTTCCCTATCTCCCCAACCAGCTTCCTTATGTCTGCCTCAGGTGCTGTAACACCTGACTTCTGTAACAGGAATTGAAGT